CGCCTCGTCTTCTCTGACACGGGCCACCACAGAGTGGGCACAGGTCCCCCATCACCCTCGCCTATCCACCGACGACGACCCTCCCCCTCCCTATACGGAGTTCCCCGCACCGTATCAGAGCGAGCCCCGTGCTGCGCGAACGAGCGCCGCTGCGCATAGAGCGCCGCACAGCACCCTCCTTCGGCCACGGCCGTTGCCGGCGCCGCCTCACCAGGTCGTCTTGACTTCGAGCGCTCAACGAGAGGGCGATGTAAGGACGACAGGATCCGCGAGGTGGTCTCTCTTGACCGTCCGCATCTGCCGGTGGCGTTTTTGGCACCGAGGGACGACATCAGCCTTCAAGTTTGAGATTGACCCTCTGGAGTGAATGGTTAGGCGCTGCACTCTCCCCTCTTCACCAATGAGCCTCGCTCGTATACCCCTGGTCACCTAGACCTACCATACTTCGTACATCCACTCTATTCTGTCATTTCTTGCGCATACATCTCCCGCACAACGCCCATCAAATCGATGATCTCCTCGTTCTTTCAAATCTTTGAGGTGCATGCAGCAGATATATCGGCCCGACGTGGGATAGCACACCGGTTACCTCGCTAATGAGAACGCTGTTCGCTTGCTGTTACTCTCCAGTGTCTCCCACGTGGCGCGTGAGTTGCCGCGCGCTTCTGTCATTCTTTGATCGTTTCCTGTCATGTTCAAACGACAGACTTATCGTTCTCTGGTCGCTCGCGCGGCCACTCTCCTCTTTGCGATGTCACGCTTGTCTCTACTCTCTCATCTCCGATTTGTCTCCTGTTTGCACCATGACTCCTACCACGCTTCATACCTCGACCTCGCAAGATCCTCAACAGTCGATGCAGCACGTCAAGCGGCTGCCTACTCCACTGCTACATGAGGCATTGTCGACGCAGAGACGACGGTCGTGCTATCACAATATCGCAGCTTGACCCATGGCTTTTCCAAGATGGGTCGACCGTTCCTTTCACCCTCGGCACTTTTGTGTGGTGATGCCTTACCCTTACCGCCCCAATTCGTCGCACTCTGTTGGATCCACCGACGTGCCCTACATCTCGCCTGATTCCGTGCGGCTCACACAAGACGGTGCACTCATCCCGCTCTCAAGACCATCGTCCGGGCCGGAGTCTGGTGAGAGAACAGTCGACAACAAGTTAGTAGAAACAGAATTACGGTCTTCCTTACCCTCAGCGCAGCGTCTCCGATCATCCTTGCCGTCACCATTTGCGGTCTCGCGAAGAGGCAAATCAACACTACCCACGTTGCCATCCGATGCGTCAATCAGGCCGAGTGTCCCTTATGCAGCGAGTAACTCAACCCGCTGATACTCGCCAGCCGCTGCTGCTGGCGAACAAAGCTAGACACATGGACCAACCTTGCAGGTCTTCTCGCACCTCACACAGGGCTGTATCCCCCACGACTGCCACCTAGGTGGATGCCAGCCTCAAGAAGTTTTGGTATGCGCCGCTTCGCAGTTTGTATTTTGTATCATGACGCTGGTTCACCTTACAGGTGTCTCGTATCAGGCGTGAAGTCGGGTTTTAGCTGGAGCCTTGCCCGCTCCCTAGTACTGATGTTCCCTCGTGGGCGTGGTCATCGGTGCCGCTGGAAGATAGATATTTATGATCAAAAAAAATTTCGTTGGTTAGACAGCCAACGCGCCGTCAATCGGCGTGTTGCTTCCTGCTTTTGTAATGACATTCTACAGTAGACATATTCTCAATACCCTTGTCTTTGAGTTTAATGATAGGTGCGTGGTACGATCTTTATCTAGTGCGGTTTCCTACAAGAAACACATCAAAGGATACTTGAGCATAGATCGCGAACGCATCCCAGGTCCACCAATCACGAAGATACTTGTCGACCACAATGTCCTTGACACTACACGGGCCGGTGGCATTCCTGTCCTTCACGAGTGCCACGAGAGCGTGTAGAGCCGGCTCGAAGGATGGGCGGTGATGCGGATCCTTCGCGATGCGACCATCTTGAACAGTGATGCATATGCTGTCCAAGTTCGGGAAGAACGGATGGCGCGTGCCGTCACGTTCCATGATGCGCTCGGCCAGTCGCAGCACCGCTGCGTAGTTGTCTATGCAAAGACCTAACGTGCGTACGCCTTTTGCTGTCTCGAAAGCGTCCCACCACACGGGGCTGTCGTAGACAATGGCGACCCCTTCAGCGGTGAGACTTATGGAAGTAAGGTCGTCTAGCGGTATGGGAAGCCCAAATGCGGCCAGAGGTTGGACGCCAGGAGCTTCGAAGGAGAAAGCGAGTAGCGATTCTATGCCGGGCATCAAGATGGAGAACATGCCGTACGTCGTTTCTATGAGTTGACCCCGCCATGACTCCGACGGCTTGTTCCCATGTGTGAGGAAAGCCGTATCTGAGACAACGAGTGCCTTTACGGGGCGCAAACGACTATAGATACTCTGGATAGCCGTCAAAGCGAGGGTCGGCGGGCCATTCTCACTGAGTGAGCTGACGTCGTCGGGATCGTTGATCTCGATGATGAGTTCCACGTTGCAGGGGAAGACGACGTGTGCGAGGAATTCGCAGCAGGCGCGATGACGTGTAGCGTATTCGGAAGCTGTCACTTCGCAGAAGCGAAGTGATGTGGGTAGAATGATGGTAGGATATGAATCGTCCAGCGATGACTTGTCCGGGAAAGCATCCACGACAGTAAGAACCTCCAGAGACTTCAGAGACATAAGAGTGTTTGCGAGTTGCATGGCTGACGGAAGAATGGCGGTTGAAGTCTCGGGGTACTGCAAAGTAAGGCGTTGAATCCTTGCGCTGAAGAAGGAGTCGTCCCAACGGGGTGGGAGACAGTTCTGGAGACTGAGTGCGGTCAAAGATGCACTCAGTTCTATGCCGGAAGGCAGTCTCGGGGCGTCCTCTGTCTCCTCCAAACAAAGGTCAACACGCAGTGTCCGTAGGTTCGGTAGAGCTGCGTCTAGATGACCAGCCACGCGCTTATACGCTGGGAGGGTAAATTCTCCGAGGTTCAAATGCTGAAGACGCCCGTACATAGGCGGCGCAAAACACAGGGGCAGCCTGGCGTCCATGCGGGCTAAGGTACCATAGCTATCTCCCGACAGGCAGAGGCTAAAAGGAAGGCTCTGAGATCTTTGTATGACCATAGACATCAGTGTCCATGACATGGCGAGCATATCGTCCGGGTCTGCCCAGAGTTTAGCTGAACCGATCGCAACCTGGAGTATGAAGATTAGTTAAGGGATCGAGTGATAGCAGCTAGTAGACTGGGACGCACCTCCCTCCAGATCGAACATACATGAGTAACGACTATCCACCCGGGCTGATAATCGCCCCCGTTCTTGATCGCATGCTCTCCTTCGTTGGTCCCAGATGGGAGCGCCGGCATTACCACAGGCCAACCATACAGCTCCTGCGCCATCTCAAAGACAAGACAGAGGACTTCTGGTGGCAAGCTGCACCATCTGCAGTACGCGTTGCGCTGGCGTCCGAAGAAAGGCCCTATCGATTGGAAACGCTGAGTCTCGGCATCCAGTAGCTCCAGGCGCTTGTCATGAGCGAGAACCTTGAAACGAGCCGAAGGGATTGTCACGTTAAGCCAGGCAATCCTGTGATCAAGGTCTTGTCAGTGGACGTTGGGGTAGTGACTGGAAATGTACCACTGACAAAGTCGCACTTGGTTCAAGTTCCATCACGGGAAGAAGAGGTGGAAAGGAGGAGCTTGGCGTGTATTATCCACGCTCAGCCTATGTAACAACCCTTCACCCCCATGCTTGTCACAGCTTCCGGGTCTCATCAAATCAAGTCTTCAACGCCCTTATTCACGCCCGGCGCAAGCGACCCGCCGACGATCTTTGACCTGCAAGAGACCGTCAAAGCTATGAAATGAAGCATGAGCGGGCTTCAAGTTCCGTGATGGTACTCGCGGTGCCACGGGTTGGCTAGGTCTTCTCGTGCTAGGTCAATATAGCTGTTCCAACGCGTCAGAGAAGTAGCGACGGGCTCGCCTTCTCCGGGCCTCTCCCGCTTTCTCCCGCTCTCCCCACCCGTCCCTTCAGTCATAACAGGTGCTATACGTGTCCGGCTGTAGAACGAAACCCATCAAGGCGCAAAAGGGAGGGGGAAGAGGGAAAAGAAACGTCGACGGCGTGGGTAGGGCCACGTGTGCGGCTGGCGCGGCCACGTGTTTTGCCGCGTGTGTCGCAAAGCGCGTCGCGCCCGCTCGTCCTCCTCGTTGGCCCGCAAATATCTCGCACCAGATAGTCACATGGAACTATATGACCCCGTGAGTCTCTACTAGAGCGCTGGACTCTGCCAGCGGGAACCCAGCTTGGTTCATTTGGCGGCCACCGAAGTGCTCTCAAAAGCGCTAAACCTTCATACGGGCTTCCCGATGGTCTATGGGACTTTGACACATCAGCTGCTGCAGGGGCTAGTTGATGCGTTGGAGGCATTTTTATTGCCCGATGGCCATTTCTTGGTACCTTTAGCGCATTTATAAGCAAATTCATGATTGTTCAAGTAGTAGTATCTAAAGCACCCAATAACAAGATTGTATACACAGCAAGAGGGCCTCGAGAGGGCGAGAGACGTGAGGTTACTACAGGAACGATTATTCGTCAGGTGAACGGCGAGCACGTTTGGAAGGTCCGGCTTCGGCGTCCAGATGCGACGCGTCGCGCTTCTTTTCGTTGCCTGCAAGTGCTAGAAGGGCATGAATAGCACGAGTGGCGGGAGCCGCTTCGTAGCCGTCACGGGCGTTGAGAGCTTCAATAACTGTACCAGTGAGACCGACGGCTTGGGCGTCGTCGTCGTCGTCCGTATGGATGGGAGAGACTTCAGTCGCAATGTCCAGAATGGTCGCGAGTTCACGAGCAAGGGGCGAAAAAAAGCCACCAAAGGATTCGTCGCTGTTGTAGGCTTCCAGGAGAGCGCGTGCAACTGCCGCGATGCCGTGCGTGCCGTGCATCTTGACAACGTCCGCGAGCAGCGTATGACGAAGGCCATCGATACAGCGAGCGACGCGTGTAGAGAAGTCGGGCTCCTTTTTGATGACGTCCTGGAAGTTCGGCCCGAAGCGCGACTTGGACACAATGGCCCCCATCAGCGGTGACTGTGCGGGTGCTTTTGCAGTTCCATCCTGGCGGTCGTCTAATGAGTACATACTCACAAAAGCACAGGGAGAACTGACCTTAAAATCGTTTCGAGTCTCCCAAGAAACGACGGCAGCCCAAAGCACAGCAACTTCGCGACAGATAGATTCGGGCCAGTCGGAAGACGTCCGAAGAGCCGCTGCACCGAAGTTGAGGACTCGAAACATCCAGCGCTGCGGAAAAGCGGTCGGCTCCTTGCACGCGCCGCTCTTCCTGGTGGACGCGACGGACTTGCCAGGTTTGGCATCCGCCTTCGGGGATGCCTTCAGCGGCGAAGCCGACTTATTCGCACGCGCCTTAATCAAATCCTTCAGCGGCGAACTCGACTTGTTCGCGCACGCCTCCGGAGACGTCTTCGGCGGCATACCCGACTTGTTCGCGCGCGCCTCCAAGACGGTCCTGGGCGCATGGGGAGAACCCACGAACAAGAACGGGGCATCTTCGTCCTCAGGCGAAGTGGTGTCGTCGCCAAGCTCACGATCGCCAAGTGGGAGGGCATCGGGCGACTTTGAATTCGACTGACCGTGAGGCGGGGTAAGATCATGTGCCACCCCGGCATCGTCGATGTCGATGATAGCAGTCGATTCCTTGCGAGGCGTCGGCGCATCGCTGGCGACGCTCGCGGGCTGGCACGTATACTCGCCAATGAGCTCGCGCTCGACGTCGCCAGTATCATGCGCGTCTTCTTCATGGTCGTCGACGTCCACAGCAAGACTGGGTCCGGAGTCAGGTACAACGGTCTTGTCGGCGAGAACGCCGGGCGTCGAGAGACCGCCCAGTGAGGAAGTGCGAGGCGACGAGTCCCGAAGAGGCGAAGCAGGTAACGATGGAGACAGACAGAGGGGTGTAGGAGGCGAGAGGCCGGACGGGGAGTCGAACGACGCATCGGGAGCGGGTGCCCAGTCTCGAGAGGATGACAGCGCGGGCCTAGTCATTGGGTCGCTCGAGCTAGTGGTTGCCGGAGTAGACGCCGACGGAGGAGCGGTTGAAGGGGCGGGGCGTTGAAGGTGTTTCTTGTGTTGAGAGAAGAGCAATGCCGCGCGCTTGAGTTGCAAATCGCCAAGACGCCTCTGCGCCTCGTTAGCGCCGTTGATGGCCAAGGTAGCGCAATCAATCCGCCGTGAGAGTAGCGCGAGTTCAAGATCTTGTAGCGCAAGATCGCTCTGTGAATCGCACCAGTCAGATGTTTGAAAGATAACGAATACGACCAAAATGACGGGTACCTGTCGCAGCTGCCCCGACGCGCGAGCCGTCTCCTGCTTCATTTCCAACTCGACGCGTTCGACTTGTAGACTCGCCAGCTCCTGCACAGGGAGCGGCTCGTTATTCGCGGCGGCGCGTTCCACTACGATCTGTGCATCGCAGAGCTGAAGTTCGAGTGCCTCGAGACGATCCTGAGGTGGGTTTTGCTACAGTGAGAGTGAATGTTTCATTCGAAGCGAGTCAGAGTACAAAGCACGTACCTCCAACATGACGAAGCCGTGGCGGGACTAGAAGAGGTAAGCCAGAGGTGGGC